GAGAGTGAGACTCTCCATCAGGAAGGGGCTGATACACTCATTTATTGCTGCCCTGCCTCTTTATACAGACAGAGGCATTGTAGAGCTTTAGCATATCTCAGTCATTTGGTCTATACGTGTAGATGTGCTGCTGAAGAGCCAAGAGCCATTCTCTGTTCTGCCAAAGCAAAAGGGATCATGTGGCTTTCCAGGGGATGTGTCTGCACCCACCATAAACCAAACCGAGGCCATCCACCACAGCACCATCAAAGACAGTAGAGGCCAGAAGTCTGTCCAAGTACTCTGGACACCATACAGCAATTTCCTTTTCTCAGTGACCACACAGTGATCCTGGACTGGAAACAGGTTGCTGAAATTACTCATCAGTTACTTGAATTTGGGCACCCCATTTTCTGTCATGTTGGAATAAGGAATCCAAATACATATCCCGTGACTTTTTCCTCCAAAAGTGACTTGGGAGCCAAGCAAGATGTGACAGGGCCAGGAGCTGACCCCATCCCCTGTGCTCTGTCTCATCAATCAAACTGGAATTCCTCATGGCACAGGGCTGGGAGAAGGGTTTGCAGCAGGAACAAAACCGAATGGAAAGATCAGAAGGGCACAGAGCAGTGTAGTCTTGCTCTGGTGGTCCACAGAGTGGCCATGAGGAGAAGCAGAACACCAAACAGACTGCAAGGTGAGACATCTGGGGTTTGCCAGCCTGTCCCAGCTCTTCCTTGCCAATGGCAAGATGACCTCTCTTCTGGGATGCCACCAAAGGGAGCAATGAACTTAATGTTATCAGCAGCTCACCCACTGGTTGTCATGCGATAGGATACCTGTACTTATCTAGACAGCCCTGACTATCACTGGTACCTTAATGGGCTTTATCTTTAAAGGACAAACTGGATAACAGTTAATGGGCTACAGATGCTGGCAGAAAACAGCTGGCAGAGAGAGGAAAGAGGAAGGGGTCTGATTTTTCATGACACGTCCCCTAACCAGTTCATCTCATTCCCAACAGCAAACTACAGAGCCAAATTATCCAGAAATCCTTCTAATTGCCATCAATAAGCATGGAGTCAGCCTCATTGATCCCAAAACCAAGGTAAGCAAAACTGATGTTCCTGAGCTCACTCCTAAATTCCTCACAGAAGTTATCTCAAAGCACATGTTATTCAGGTGTTCTCTTCAAGCCTAGTTAGAAAGGCTGGATAGCCAGAAAAGTTTCTGGAGGTAGAGTTCACTGTTGCTGAGAGCCAGCCCAGCCTTTTTCAACAGGAGATGGGTCTAAAGCATCATCTGTTAGAGCACACACTTCTTTCTTAATCCTTTCATAGACATAGGACAGGAGCTGGAGTGGATGAGCTCCTCCTAGTTGCTTCCACCAGCCACATGGTCATAGTAGTACAGCAGTCCTCCACAACCACTGGAGGATGAGAGTCTTGCATCTCACTGCCATTCCAATGAGGACATGGCACAGCACCATCAAAGTAGACATCCTTGGTGTGCTTTGATGGCAAGTGAAGGAGGCATGGGAGGTCCCCACAGCCCTTCATGAAAGTTGAGGCTCTCGTGTGTTGAGTGTCAATCTTGTGTTCCCACCAGGATATTCTCATCACTCACCCCTTCACCAAGATCTCCAACTGGAGCAGTGGCAACACGTACTTCCATATAACCATTGGCAACCTGGTGAGAGGAAGCAAGCTGCTCTGCGAGACCTCCCTGGTAAGGAGCGTTAAAGATTATTGGGCACAGGTAGAGCAAATCCTCACTTTGGCAGGCAAAATGAGATGCCTCCAGCAAATTGTGTCTCAGGGATTTTCTGGGCTGAAAGTTGTCTCTTAGAAGAGTCCCCTGCATGTTTTTCTTACTTCTGGATTTCTCATGGCTCTGCTCAATGGCTCAGGTCTCTCACTTGGTCCATCTCCAATTTACAAGTAAGCCTGAAGTGCTTGGGATGTTGCCATCTCATAAGTATGGGTCATTGTTCCCTGTCACTGGACTGAAAAGCACATTAAAGCCGGGCTCGGGAGTACTCTTAAGGCCTTTTACCAAGATCCTCTGTCCAGCTTGTGCCTAGTAACAGTAACAACAACAATAAAACCTTAGAATCACAGGATCAACTAGGTTGGAAAAGACCTTTAAGATCATCAAATCCAACCATTACCCCAGGACTGCCAAGTCCACCACCAAACTGTGTCACCGAGGGTCTCATCTACGTGTTAAACCCAAAGCATGAAGGATAAAAAATTCTGCTGCATTAATTGTTATTAATCTGAGTCATTCAGTATTTTGTTGACCATTTGAGAACCCAGGCCCCATTCAAAGCTCCCTATGTCCTTAGCTTCAACAGCATCCTGGAACAGTAAGTTCCTCTATCTCTACACTGCAAATTATGTTTGGACTGTGTTCCTTGTGATGGAATCCTTTCATAGAATCATAGAATAGTTTGGGTTGGAATGGACCTTAAGATCATCCTCTTCCAACCCCCTGCCATGACCATCCTCTCCCCCCCCCCTGCCATGAGCAGGGATGCCTCACACTAGACCAAGCTCCATCCAACCTGGCCTTGAACACTGCCAGGGATGGAGCATTTACCACTTCTTTGGGCACCCTGTGCCAGCGCCTCAGCACCCTCACAGTAAAGAACTTCTTGCTTATATTTAACCTGAACTCCACCTGTTTAAGTTTGAACCCATCTCCCCTTGTCCTATCACTACAATCCCGAAGAGAATTCCCAAGGTTGAACAGGTCAAAATGTACCTGGAGCTTGAAAGTCAACACTTTAAAGTGTGTTCTAAAAGGGCAGGTAACATCTCCTCTCTCCTCCTCAGGGGTACAAGATGGATGATCTCTTGACCTCCTACATCAGCCAGATGCTGACGGCCATGAGCAAACAGAGGAGCACAAAGGGCAGCAAGTGAACTGCAAGAAGCCACTGGCATGTGGCCATGCGGCTCATTCACCAGCTGAGGCCCGTGGGATACCCATGCAGCTGGGGCAGAACCTTTGCCTCCCAGATGTGGAAGATGAGCCGAACACCATCAGGGAGCTCGCTGGACTCTGACCTTGAGGGCTCCAATCCCACCTCCCCTTCCAGCGAAGACGACTATCTCTGACCTCCCTCCTTCTCCACCCTGCACCCCAACACCATGTTACACCTCAAAGCTTTCCAGGGGACACCACTGCTCTCAGACAGCGACCGAGCAAAGACACTCCAGCAGGAGGTTTGCCTGAACCCAATGGCTGGCATCACAAAGGCTCTTGAAAGAGGATTTTATGTGTGTGTGTGTGTGCGTGTGGTTTGGTTTGTTTTTTCTCTTAAGTAAGAAAGAGCTATGGGGATGCTAACAGCTTTTTTGGGGAGGTTTTTGGCATTTCGGGCTTGAAGAAGGGTAACAGAGCCCTGAACCATGCTGGAAATATGTCCAATGAACACTGCAGGGCTCCAAACTTGGGTTTGGACATTACAAGAGACTACGTTGTGTTCTTATGAAGGACAGGAAGAACAAGCAGGGAGGAACGTTTTAATTAGGAGTCAGAATAAACCAACTACTGATGGAACAGGCTAAAGTGCTGTCTGTGCAATGCTGGAGATATTTAAAGGACAGATTTTAAAGTGTTGTTTCTTCTTCTATTTATTTTTTAAGATATTAAAAAGGAAAAGAAAGAAATAAAACCCTGCATTTTGTGCTGGTATCTGGACATTGGCTCGGGGCTGAGGGCGACCTGCAGGACAATGTGTCGCCCAGGGATTCCCCCAGAGCCATGATCGCCAGAGGCTAAGGCACATCATTCCCAACTTATGGGATCAGCTGCAGGAGAAGCTTGGAAGATGAATTATCTCCTGTGCCCAGACAAATTAACCCTGGGAGGATGTACACTACAAGCTTCAATATGGATATAGGGGTTTTGAAGGCCCCGTGCTTGGAAAACTTGAGGCCAAGCCTGTGTTGAGCTGTAATTCAAGCATGGACTTGGCCATTGGGGATGGAAACAGCTAATGACTTTATTGTGCTCAGAAGCACAATAAAAGTGTGTTGCTGTGTAAAATGGCTCTCAGCTGGACCTGAACGTGAGGGCAGACCCTTGATTTTCATGGGCTTTTCTCCTTCTTTGGCTGGCTGTACTAATCTGCTGGCTGGTTGTCCCATCTTCCACCCAACACCATGCAGTGCGGACCAGCCTGCTTTGGAGCAGAGATGGGACTTGCCAGGAGGGAGGAGGCTGAAGCCATGCTGTGTCTGGGGGGGTGCAGGGGAATGAGCCTGGGGAGCCTTTCCAAAAGCCAGGCTTCAAAGGAACATGTGCCTGTGTTTCTTCAAAGGAACATGTGTGGGGCATCAGGAACAATTGTCCACCAAGATCTGGTGCTGGCATCACTAACACAGAGTGGATCTCAGTAGATGTGGGAAACCTCTCTTGGTCCCATGCATTGGGCTGAGTTTGGCTGCTTTCACAGAAGTCCATATTGTAGGGTGTGTTGTTCTGTTGAGCTCATCTGGATGGGACTCTTCATCAGGGACTGTTGTGATAGGACAAGGGGGAACAGCTTTAACCTGCCAGAGGGGAGATTGGGATGAGCTCTGAGGCAGAAGCTCTTCCCTGTGAGGGTGCTGAGGCGCTGGCACAGGGTGGCCAGAGAAGCTGTGGCTGCCCCATCCCTGGCAGTGTTCAAGGGCAGGTTGGACACAGGGGCTTGGAGCAACCTGCTCTAGTGGAAGGTGTCCCTGCCCGTGGCAGTGGTTGGATGAACTGGATGAGCTTTAAGGTTCCTTCCAACCAAAACTAGTCTGTGATTCTATGATCTTGGCTCGGTCCTCCTACACCATGGCGGGCCAGGCAGAGTCAGCAGCACTTCCTACCAGACCTTAAGGACTGTAACATCTGGCTGGGATGCAGCAGTGACTTTGGACCTTGGTTGCTCCACCAAAGAGAATGAGATGCTGCACAGAGACACCTACCAGGGCTGCTGGGAGATTGCCTTCCTCCACCATCCCCTACCCAAGGTACTTGGTGGTGGGAACACAGTTACACCAGCCAAGGCTACACTGGGAGCCAAGCTGCCTTCTCACCACCCATCTATCTCTGATGCTTCTCTCCCCTCCCCAGCTGCCATGATCCAGCTGTCCCAGGGATCCCACTGTCCTTAGATTGTCCTTAGACACATGCCCATCATCATCCCCACCAGCACCACTGCTTCCTGTGAGTCTCCAGCCACTCCTATCTCCCACAGCACACTCAGTAGATGCTGCAGCACAGCAATGTTCTCCAAAGCTGTCCTGGGCCAGCTTTCCCCCACCACCACCCTCTTCCCTCCACTTACAGCTCTGTTGGCCTCCTATGCACCCCACTGTTTTGAGGGGTGCTGGAACTCTGTGCGTGTGTGCCTGTGTGTCATGTATTAGTGTCTGCTGACCTCTGTATCCACACCAAGTGATGTAACATGGAAAACGTATGTCCAAGTGAACTGCTCTAATTAAAAAGCATCAAGTGGCTTGTGGGAGGCTGTTCTGTGTGGCTGTGGTGGTGTCTCCATGGGGAAGGGTGGGCTAAGGGGTCACAGGTCCTCGATGGGGACGAGATCTCTTCTTGCAGAGTGGGGCTCCTGGTGAGAGTGGAAATGAAGTATGGGGAGATGCCACTGTGATGGGCCAAGCAGGAGGCAGATACATGGATGAAGGTGCATTGAAGTGGTTTTTCCTAATGCATATTAAAAGCAGTGGTTGGAGGGACCACAGCCAAGTCCTTCACCAGGCTGAGGCCCTCATGGTACACACCACTGCTCAACTCACACACTCTCCACCTCCTATTTTGCTGTTCACATACCTCCACATGAATGGTACCCACATCCAGCTATGGATGCAGTGCATGGGGAGGTGGTTTAACACCACCAATAGCATCCTCTCCCCATGCTGCTTAGATCTGGAGCTCCTCTACACCAATCCACCAGCCCTTCAGCCTATTTTCCAAAGGAAGATGCTGCCCTTTTGTGTTTCTAGCCTCTAAAATGCACCAAAATTGTAACTTGGAAAGGTTTGGGTGCTTCTCAGCACAGCTAACTCCAAAACCTAATGCTTCCCTGTCCTGGTTCACTTTATTAATAGCTTTATTAATAAAACCACCAAGCTGCATGAGGCTCAAATATGAGAAAACATCTATAGCCTGATTCAGGTAAAGATGACAATTTTCTTCTCCTTTCCCAGTTTGCCAAAACAAGAACACAACAGGACAGGAGAGCTAAAACGTATTTATAACAGCACTTAAAACTTACAAAAAATGTGTTCTTATCATCTGTTCAAGTAGAAATTTATGGCTTAAACCTGGGAGATGCTCACACCTCCCTTGCAGAGCAAGGCATAGACCCCCCTCCCTGCTGTGTGCCAGCAGCCACTGGGAGAGATGAAAAGGGGAATCAACCCCAGGGTGCAACACAGTTATACAGACCTTCCCAATGGAAAAGCAAACAGGACACTTGGTGGGACCAATTCACATGCAGCTCAAGTCTTCTGCAGAAAAGTGATGCGGTTTTGGTTATAGTCCCAGTAGCTACATGGCCAAGGCACCAAAAAGTCCTTCAGCACCCATGGAAAGATATGCCCTTGGCCACAGCCAAGGGGAAGAGGCTGTCCTGTTAAAGTCTGTGGCAGGGCAAGAGTGGGGAGAAGGAAAACCTCAGTGCCCCTGTCTGTGCTATAGAAAGGAATGGATCTAGTGACCCAGCCAGCATCACTTGACCATCGTGGTGGGGCTTAATGTGGTCTCAGGGAAGGAGGAGACCTGCAAGAAAAGAGGAAGGGAACGTATGGAGTAGAGGTTGCTCTAACAGGAGAAACCTGGAGGAGGACTGGATGATGCCCAGAGGTTGCAGCACATCTGCAGCATGCCGCTGTGGAAACAGAGGGCTTATGCACAGCAGCAGGGATTACAGGATGACTGTGGGATGCCAGTGGTCCCAGAGGTAAATGGTGGCTCCCATGTGGTTCCTGCATCTCATCATGGTGTGCAGCTTCTTCATGGCTGCAACTCCACCTGTGCTCCCCTGCGCCCCAGGCATGGACTGCAAGAACAACTACAGGAGAGGAAGCTTGCAGCTCGTGTTCAGCAGAGTCACAAAGGCAAATGGCTCCTTGTCACCAGGGATATGAGCCCCTCTTGGCAGGTCAGTGTTTGCATTGCAGGAAGGCCATGGTCTGCTGTCCTGTCCTCATCAAGGCCACAGGTCCACATCCCTCTCTGCTGTCAGACCGCAACATTAGGCATGTTGTTGAGCTCTGGAAAAGAGGACACACAGTGAGCTGCTGAGACATCTGCAGTTGTCTTGTCAGCCATTGAGAGCAAACAGAACCTGGCTGAAAATGTGAGCAGCCCAGGCTGGGCCATTTAATCTGGATGATATCTCCATGGGTGCAGAAACCGCAGCCAATCCCACCCAATAGTGCAGACCCAAGGGTGCTCAGTGCCTCTGGGGTCTCTTTTCACAGCCTCATAGAGTAATGCATATTGGAGGGGATGCCTGGATGGTTCTGCCCCAATCTCTGCTTGAAGCAGGGCCAAATAGATAGAACCGATCAGGGCTTTGAGCAGCTCTGAGGGTGGAAATTCCCCACTGTCTCGTCCCTGTTTCAGTATCTGATCACCCTCATGGGGAATATTTCCTTTATTTTCTTTATATCTAGCCAGATTTCCAGAAGTTGGAGCTTGTGTTGTCACTGCACATCCAAGAAACATCTGGCTCCATCTTCTCTACCATTAGATGATTGGAACTAGATGATCTTAAGGTCCTTTCCAACCCTAACCATTCTGTGATTCTATGGCTGAAGACAGTGATAAGATGCCCCTTGATTTTCCCTCCCCACTGTGCAAACCCAGATCTCAAATGTCTCATCCTCCAGCTTAGTGGCCCCATTAAGTTCGCTCCCATTTGTCACAATCTCCTTGGTACTGAGGAGCCTGAACTGGAGCCAGTTCCTATACATCACCTCACCGGTGCTGAGCAGAGGGAAGAAATCACTGCACCTAAGACAACACAGGATGCACCCATCCTTCCCCACAGCACGGACACCCATCACCACCCCATCCATCAGGACCCCAGCTGCAGCTAGGGGATGTCCTTGCCCTGCTCACCTGTCTTGAACTTGTTGTAGGTGCCATTCTCCAGCATCGGGTCTTCGTCTTTGGCACAGCAGGAGAAACTCCGCTCTCGCCACCTGCATGGGGCAAAGCACCTGGGGCAGGACAATGCTTGCTATGGTTCCCCTTGCACCTCCCTGGTGCCCTGGATGCCTTTTCTACTTTGTCAGGGTAGGATCTGCCCTGGAACATTGGGGTTTGCTCAGGTCCTTTCCAGGAAGGGACTCCAGCGCACGATTGATGTCTAAGCATCTGCACTTCATGTGTGCAACAGCGTTTTGAAGGCAACTTTGTGACTAAATCTTGTTTTGTGAAAAGTACTATAAGAGCTTAAAAGTCCCAGAAATGTTTGTGGTTTTGATGGAGAAGAGAAGCTGCGTGAAGACCTCAGAGCAGCTTCCAGTATCTGAAGCGGGCTCCAAGGATGCTGGAAAGGGACTCTTCGTCGGGGGTTGTAGTGATAGAACAAGAAGTAATGGTTCAACTGAAATGGGATATTTAGGTTGGATATAAGGAAGAAGTTCTGTACTGTGAGGGTGGTGAGGCACTGGAACAGGTTACCCAAGTAAATTGTGAATGCTCCATCCCTGGCAGTGTTCAAGGTCAGGTTTGGACAGGGCTTGGAGCAACCTGGTCTAGTGAATGTGTTCATAAAGCTGACAAACAGGACTGTGTAGGGCCCTCAGGCACTGCTGATGGTCCCTCACTCCCAGCAGGGCTGGGAATGCCCTTACTGCAATTCCAGGCCAGAAAAGGTTGTTATTTGGCTGCATCAGAAGCTTCTGCAGGGCCCTTGGAAATGCACACACAACATGAACATGAGCCTGGAGGAGACAGGCATGGGAAGGTCTGATGGTGGTGGTGATGCATTGCAGGGGTGATTGTGAACCACCCTGCAACCTGTAGCCTTGAAAGCAAGGTCAAAGCTTTCCTCCTAAGTCAGTCCAATGCAACGGTGTCTAAATAATATTAATATAAAAATCAGTTCCTTTCTCAGCCCATCAAATATGATAGCTTGTTTATGATCCTACCATAAATCCACCAAGTATCTACTGAATCCCGAGGGTAGATGATGTCTGAGCTGCCAAAATGGAAAGGGAAAATGAAAGCAAGCCGTAGAAGCAGAGAGGTTTTGGGAGGCTTTCAGGGCTTTCTCCTAGTTCCTGAAGGGAAAGGTAATGTTCTCAAGAGTAGCTTTAACCCTTCAGATCACCTGAAAGCATCTCTCTTTAAAAAAAAACCTGGCGCAAAGGATAAGGTTAGGATGGCCATTAGCAACTTGATAGTTACCAGTGCAGAGTAAAGATGAGTGAGATGAGGAGCATAGAGGTCAGATCTGTGAGGATCCACATGATGTTGTACTGCTTCGGAGTCTGGAAGAGAACAACAGAAGATGTGTTCACCACCAAGGACCCAGAGATATGCTAAAAAGTTGCTCAAGCTCTTTCTTGCTGCTCAAATATGGCAGTGTTCAAGGCCAGGTTGGACACAGGGGCTTGGAGCAACCTGCTCTAGTGGAAGGTGTCCCTGCCCGGGGCAGGGGTTGGAACTGGAGGAGCTTTAAGGTCTCTTCTAACCTAAATCATTTTATGATTCTGCAGTTCTATGGGTGTATGAATATGGCCATTCAGATGCCTGGTTTGCATGTGCAGTTACATCCCTCAGGTATTTAAACTATTTGGTGGCAGTTCAAAGTGGCCACTCAGTGGTGGGTGTTGGTGCCAAATCATCACCCTTCATAAAGATCTGTGGTGTGGCCAAGAAGATTGAACCACATCATAGTGACTATAACAGGGACCTCTTGTTTGTATACACAGGTCCTGTAGTTTGCTCTGCTTCTCTCCAACATTAACACCAACTGAGGGCATCTCATTTTCTCTGGCAAAACTGTCCTCAATTGACCACCACAGAGGGTCTCGGGTGGCTCCTGCTTCAAGTCTAAGAGCACCTAAGCTTTATCCTGAGACTGGACCTTCACCCTCCCTCAGAATGGATTGAAACACTGCAGTCGTCTGGATGGCAGCATCATAACATCTACTTCAAGAGTGTAAAGGCAGTTATTCAAACTGATAGCCTTTAGGCTGCAGGAACTCTGGTGGGACCCAGGTGCTCCTGAGCCCTACAACTTGTCCAAGGCAGAATAGGGAATAGACAAGTTATGTGGAAAAGAATTTCTTACGGCAAGGAAGGGTTATTTCTATGGTTGTTTCCCTTGAGCTTGTAGAACAAGACCAGGTTTGAGGAGGGCAGTAGGAAATGAGGAACTTCTGACAAGGTGCTTCAAAGGCTAGAAATGGAAAACCTCATGCACCAGCTTGTGCCTCCAAATGCCCTTCCTTTCTTCACATGCATCTCAGGATGACTTCTTTACCCTCATCTCAAGGCTTGAGTTGCAAATCCTAAGAAGCAGGATGCTTCTACCTCAGCCAAGTGCAAAGAGAAGGGTATGGTGATACCTGGAGTGGCTCAGAGGTTGCAGGTAAGCCAGGTTTCAACTCAGGTGCTTTTCATGCAAAGGGTCCTTTATCCATGCATGGCCCACTGTCTCCAAAGGAAACCATGAACATCCCAACCCAACTTCTTACCCCTGGGACAGGGAATATTTTCACTTACCATGAGGAAAAGTGGCTGGTTGAGATTCTTCAGTATATGGACGGCATTGGTGGTCACAGAGTGTGCTCCAGAGCACCACGCCAGGGAGAAGAGCCATGGCTCACTGATCACATAGAAGTTGGTGGTGATGTTTGCTTCAGCATATTTCCTTTAAAAGACCAAAAGGCAACACATTTGTGTATTGGTTTACATACACAATACATTTTGACATGGTTTTGTGGTGGACTTGTCAGTCCTGAGGTAACAGTTGGACTTGATGATCTTAAAGGTCTTTTCCAACCTAGTTGATTCTATGATTCTATGAATAACCTTCATTAAGCAATGAGGTTAGTACTTCCTTTGGGCTGAATCAAGGAGAGACAGCAATGTTCTGTAAGAAAGGCTCGCTTTAGGACCTGGATAAGGAACAGAAAGGAAAGCCAACCAGCCAATGATTAGTCATTCACAATTGGTCAATACAGAGTTGCTGATCTGCTGGAAGCCAACACAGTTTAAATGTCTGAAAGGTCAAAACTTTGCTTACTCTTCTGCCATGTCAATCAATGAAATGATGTGTTTGTGATCTCCCAATAGTGTGTTCAAAACCACCTCAAAGCTGGCTACACATGATGCAGTTGTTTGCTGCATCAACTCTTCCTTTCTCAAGTTCTTATTAGCTATTGAAACTTAAAATGAAGTAAGAACATACTTAGTATAATGGTAAAGGAATGTGTCGTGGGTATCAGTGTTTGTAAATCTACCTAGGATCTATCCAGGGTTTACCCAAAATGATCCACCTGGGATTTTACATCCTGTGAATATTATCATTCAGAAAACATCAACATTACTCTCACCCAAAGGATTAAACTTTTTCTATTCTTCTTTGTTTAAAAATCAGATTTCAACGTGTTTGTGCACTGGAAAGGGCTGGACACATCAGGCTGTTATTTCTTTTTTCTTTCATATGAGAGGACCATTTGGGAAACTCCCACAATGAATGTGGAGCCTTCCATTGGAGAGATGACATTTTCAGTGCATCACAAGCAACAGAGTACTGGTAGTAACAGACACAAGAACTGAAGTCTCCGAAACACCAGCTACAAGAAGGTGATGGTCTCTCACCACACCATTATGTGCTTACACTGATGTCTTTGGAAAAGCCACCACAGGAGGTTAAATAGTTGTTCATTCTCCATGATTCAGTGCAGGTGGGACTGAGAGTGGCAGGAATAGAAAGACAAGAACTCAGAAGTCAGCTGTGGTGTTCTACCCAGAAGATCCTCACATCTCAGTCAAGTAAATATGGACTTGGGGGCAGCAGTGGTGTAATTACATGTCACCTCTTGGCCATACACAGGGTCAACAGTAGGAGTGAACTACAGTCCCTTACTCCCAAAATGCAACAGGGATGGCCACTTGATCTAAAGGATCAAGTGCTAAAAGAACCTATAATGCTATAAGATCCTGAGGCTGGTCACTGGAGGGAGACATTGCCACACGCATGAGGCAAACATAGTCCAGGTGCAGTTCAACTGTACTTGGGGGTGAAACTACAACCTACCGGATATCTTCACTGGACATTTCATTGTAGGCCAGATTGAGTTTGACAATATTGCTCATCAATAGGTCTTCGACTGGGGCCTTTCTGCCCCTTGTCTGCTGAAACCCAGGAGCAACAGAGTGAACAAAGGACCTCATGCTGTTCTCCAGCCATAGGACCTGCAGGCAGCAAGAGGACACTGAATTCACAGCAGACATACTAAAATGCCCTGCCCTTGACACAAACCCAGTAGAGATAACATCTTGAGGGGCTTAACCCAGCCTGTCAAATGACATGTTTCTTTCAGTGATCAAAGGACATTTGGATGCAGGGTTAAAACCTGCAAGACATTTTCATCAAGAAAAAAGTATTCACTGTTCCTTGCTTATCATCTTGAAATCAGTGAGTACCTTTCACACAGCCCAACAAAAGATGTAGTGTTTGAAATGAATGAAAAGTCAGCTTTGGTTTATGGGAAAGGCAACAGAAAATATTCTCCCCTTCTCCCACCATGAGAGAAAAAGTTTCAGCAGACACAGATCAGGGTAACAACTCAGGCATTAATGGGTACATAACCTGACCCACATGAGTTTAGCATTTATCCATTGCTGGAGGAAGGCAATGAAGGCTCCAAACTCCATGTATCTCAATTTAAGCCAGGATTTTCTATGCAATATATATAAAATAAGCATGGGTGGCAGGGAGCAGGCTGCCAGTTATTACAATTATGAAAGGATGTCATCCAGGGGCTAAGGCATCAGCTTGTATATAAACTAACTTATTTCTCTGCTGCTGTAGGGTTACACAGTTTTGTACCTGCTGAGGAACAAATAGGAATATAGTCCAAATGATGCCTCTTAGAATAAGTGAAGTACAAGGAACCAGACTTTATGCAGGCAAAATCATGTAGGATTATGATCCCAAAGTTCCAACTTGGAGAGCAAGGAAAAGGGATATGGAGGAGTGAAGCCACCTTACCAGATGGGGCCTAATCCCTGACTCGAAGATGACTTCCAGCGTTCTGTTGACCCATGAGTCCCTGTAAGGATGATTATCTGGAGGGCGGTAGAGGTCAAATATCACGTATTTATTGTGACTCTCGGCGAGGCGCAAGAAATCACTTAGTTTGTAAATTGTCTGATTCATTGCCCAGCTTTGGTCTGCCTTTGACAGTAAGCGGATGGATAAAAATGGTTTGTCCTAGAAGTAAAGATATAAAGAATGGAAATCAATGAGGCTGTTGCCTCTGGGAGTTCGCTGGATCCAAAAAACTCCTCTCTCTAAAAGGGAAAAAGGTTGATACCAGCCCTCAGCAGCGGCTATTTCATTTTGCTTTGGTCTTCTACCTGTACAGAGGAAATTCATAGAATCCCAGACTGGTTTGGGTTGAAGGGACCTTAAAGCTCCTCCAGCTCCAGCCCCTGCCCCGGGCAGGGACACCTTCCACTAGAGCAGGTTGTTCCAAGCCCCTGTGTCCAACCTGGCCTTGAACACTGCCAGGGATGGGGCAGCCACAGCTTCTCTGGGCACCCTGTGCCAGCGCCTCAGCACCCTCACAGGGAAGAGCTTCTGCCTCAGAGCTCATCTCAATCTCCCCTCGGGCAGGTTCAAGCCATTGCCCTTGGCCTGTCCCTACAGGCTCTTGTCCAAAGCCCCTCTCCAGGTCTCTTGTAGCCCTTTTAGGCACTGGGTGCTGTGATAACACTGCTTCTGGGACTTGAATTACACAGTTCACAGCTACCTCTGCTGTGCTTCTCAGTCCTACTGTGTTAGCTGTGACTATCATACACAGCCCCTTGCACAAGTAGCTCTTGTCTTCTTAGCCCAGCCCATGTGTTCTGCTGCTGCCACGATAAGGAGCCACAGGAACACCCACCAACTAATTGTTATAGGTCTCCTAATCCTAAAAGCCAACTGGACAAACCAAGGAGGCGCAAACTAAAGGATTCCTATTGACTTCTTCACATTCTGGCTCAACCAGTAGTTCCTCTCCCAGCATTTATGCTATAAAGTAGTATCCAGCTGGTGTCTCTTCCACGTCCAGTTGATGATAATCCTTTATGGTGCTTACCTTAAGGAACCACTTTCCAGCATTCAACTTCTGCAAGGTATCCCAAGAGAAAAACGCAGCATTTTTGGTAACGTCATTGGGGTAGACCTCCTTGATGTTCGTTGTTCTCCTCAAGGTTTTGTCATGCATGAGGAAAGGAACCCCGTCATAGCTGTTGGAGAGCAAGAGTTCAGGTTACCTGGAGTGAGGGTTTGTTCCTGGTATGAGCAGACTCAGGTCAGAAGAACATGTGGGCCATTGTGAATGCAGCAGTACAGCCTCCCTTGTTGCATAGGGTTGGATAGGGAGGAACACCAGGTTATTTCCAGCTTAAATACTGTTGGGTGACCTTGGAGAAGCCATGCTTGTCTGTGCCTCGGTTTCCTTGCAGGCAAAGCAGAGATGGTGGCATTTATGTTTGCCAACCCTCCAAAAAATGGATAGTAACTTACGGTTGAAACCTCTTTTTGCTGACACCGAAGTGTTTCTATGGGTTCTGGGGACTGAAGTCTAAATAGACAGTGATGGAAAGAAAGTGGACCTTTCTGTAAGATGGTAAAAGCTCCATCCCTGGCAGTGTTCAAGGCCAGGTTGGACAGAGCCTTGGGCGACATGGTCTAGTGTGAGGTGTTCTGTGTTCATGCCCATGGCAGGGGGTTGGAACTGGCTGATCTTAAGGTCCTTTCTTACCCAAACCATTCTATGATTCTATGGAATTAGTAGACCTTTCTGTAAGACTTTTCTTATAGAAAGGTCCACATCAGTAGAACACCTAAACGTTAGTATTTTCCTCATTCAGTGCCTGGAAACTGCTCATCCATAAAAGCATGTTAGCAATTCATGGCAGTGGGTGCCCCAAACGAATGCAACTAAAGATCTAATAATTAGGGCAGTGCTGTCACAAGTCTGAACACAACTTTCTGTTAGTTTATAGGCCTGATAGAATCCTCACTGTGACCTGGAAGTCAAACTAGGGGAGAGACTTGTCTTTATATGCTGCAAAGCATTTAAAAGACACTGTAGAAATAATGATTGTTAAAATCAATAGCTACAGCTTATTGACTTGCCTGAGAACAACCATGCCCTACAGCCCCTATCATCACACACCAACTGAGCCACCCTGTCCCAGTCATCAGTAAAACCTAATTGCCTGGAGATGCATGTCTTCAAAGCCAGCTCTTAGAAGAAGAACCATAGAATGGTTGGGTTGGAAGGGACCTTAGAGATCATCTAGTTCCAACCCCCAAGAAGTGTGTATTCAGTGAGATGCGATGTTTTCCCCTTACCTAATGGTGACATCTGTTTCAAGACCTGCCCCACCATGTTCAATTGTCTTCTGAAATGACATCTTGGTGTTTTCTGGTGCCAGCTACAAAAAAACCAAAAGCACATGAGCAAATCCTTTTCAAACACACCCTGGAGGGCTCTTTGAGTACTTTCTGTATCCTTGTAACACCTCTGGCTTTTATCATGGGAACATCATTATCTTGTTAAAGTCTACTGTTTGTTTTCTCCCACTTTAGCCACCAAACCCATCGTATCCCTTCAGGAACAGTGTTACCCTTGTTAGAAACCCCATGCAGTGAATCCTTTAGCATGCAGTTCCAATTAGGAATGACTCCCCTTCCATCACCCAGAGATTTCATGGGAAAAAAACCCAGAAGACAATGATGAAGGTAGCAAGACACAGGATGAGGAAATGATGTAAAATAACTTCTCCAGACCTACCATTGGTGCTCCACGGTGTCCAATGAGGTCTGGCTTTGGTCCAAGTGTCCCCATCTGTCTGATGCAAGGAGAGTACATCCCCAGAGGTATCAAGAAAAGAAAGAGAAGGATAGCCAGGTATGGACCAACAATTATCACCTGAATAACTGAAAGAATTTGAAGGAGGAAGGCTAGAGTTAATCCATGTGATAACATACAGGTTTGCCTTGACTTCTAAGACAGCCTTCCAGCTAAACAGCTGTTGGGCTTTGTCCCATCTCTTTTTCCATCCCTTCTTCCCCCTAATATCCACTTTCTCTCCAAACAGTGCAAGCTGGAAAACTAACTGGTCAAAGCAAGGATGTGGGCTAAGTCAGGACTGTAGGTTTTGTGCTTTAATTACATCTCACTGTGCCTTACAGCAAGACATGGCCTTAATTTCTCTTTCTTTAGAGGTGGCGCAATGAAATATCCCCCATAGGTAGAAAAACAACCTTCAACAGAAGGATGCTTTTGTTTTTTATCTTACTTAGATAAGAACAAGCAAGGTTTTGAAGTTTCATTCACAGTGAGGAAGAGGAGCCCAGGGAGCCTTCACCTTAAGGAACAAACCAGTTCCTCTGTGAAATGAGCACCTATGCATCAACATCTCCTTCTTGAATGGGTACCTCCACCCCTCTGCACTTTGCATCAGTGGCTCTAGAGGAACGTGGGCTTACATCAAGCTGAAGTATTGAGCTAGGAGTCCATTAGGCTTGGTAAAGTGTAATGTCTGGGTCCCAGCATGTTCTCCACAGCTATAGTTCAATAAGAAAAATCATGGACAGGAAAAAAACCTGTTTTCACCAGTCCACACTGTGATTTCTATTACAAATCAACATCTGCAGATGGGTGTCTTGTAGATAATTTTGCCTATAGGGAGAGCCTAAGCCAGAGAAGAACAGCCAGTCCCAGATCCAGGCTCTTCTGCAATTGTTCCTGGCATCTGGACTTGTCATTACACTACTTGGTCACACTTGTTGGAGGTGAACATGAACTCCCCATAAGATAACACTTGGAACTTATCAAAAAGTTCTTTCCCCTGTTTCAGATGGCTTCTCCTGAGATGCTCTGGTCTGAAGTGGATTTACTGGACTGGAGATCCCTTCTGAGATATCAAAGCTGAATACAGCAAGCAAAGGTCAGGCTGAACAGATCTCCATACATGACTCAGAACCTGGGTATTTCTGCTAATCTCCTCCATCTCAAGGCAGGTCACTGCCTTGCTATAGGCCAAAACTGTGCAATGGAGCATGGAAACCAGTAACACACCAGGACAGCCACAGGACATTGCGCAGCCCAAGCCCCATTAATTTCCCTGGGATACACAGAAATCCACAGTCTCCTGCGTGCTTGTTTTCCCACACTGATGTATGTCTTTTGTCATACAGGGAGCCGGCAGAAGAGCTACTGTACCTTTCTTATCTGCTCTGATGGCATGAAAAGCCACAGGCCAGGACAGGAGGACCATGATGGCTATTGCTCCTACGTGGAGGTAGGGAGCTGTGATCTGGCAAGGAGAGAAAAGGAATTTATTCAAAGGATGAAACAAGGAGACACATGGAAACAAACCCCAACATGGTGAAAGCTTTCCACCTGGATGGGCTCCTGATGCAGGTAAGGACATGGATAAAGATGCAGAAAGGACATGGAGTTGTTGGAGCAAGACCAAAGGAGGCCATGAGAATGATCAGGGGCTGGAGCACCTCCTGTATGGAGACAGGCTGAGAACATTGGGGCTGTTGAGCCTGGAGAAGAGAAGCTGCTGGAGAGCTCAGAGCAGCTTCAGTGTCTGAAGGGGCTACAAGGATGCTGGAGAGGGACCTTCATCAGGGACTGGAGTGACAGGACAAGGGGTGATGGGTTCAAACTTAAAGAGGGGAAGTTTATATTAGATATAAGGAAGAAGTTCTTCACAGTGAGGGTGCTGAGGCACTGGAATGGGTTCCCAAGGAAGTTGTGAATGCTCCATCCCTGGAGGTGTTCAAGGCCAGGTTAGACAGAGCCTTGGGTGACATGGTCTAGTGTGAGGAGTCCCTGTCTATTGTATGATTCTAACCAGCAATTCAACCTCTATCCTGCACCTGCATTGGATGAACCAAACACCTCTGGAGTTTGGGAGAGACATGTGCCCCTTGCCAGACAGAGGAGTGCTCCTCACTCTACTAAGTCAGCTGAAGGAGACATGGCTGTCCTCATCACACAATTGCCATCACTGTATGCCATCATCTGTGAGCATCTTCCATGGAGGAACCAGGTTAATTCAATCTAAACCAATCCAGTCTCATCCAGGTAATAGTCATCTCCACACCACACTGCAGCTAAATCATTAAACTGATGTTAACAGACCCAAGTGCTATTTACACCTATATGGAACTAAATATTGAGGTATAAGAGAAGTAGATACATTAAATAATACCTATTGCTGGGCAGATGTAGTAATTTTACATGATCTTTTTCATACTAAAGATTAAACAAGAAGATCAGAAGCTAAGAATCACTCCTATGCTTATCATAAATGCATGAGCAGAGCTGGAAACCAAGCAGGAAGTGTCACTTGTACAGACCCTGCATGGATATTGGTATGGCACCTTTCATAAAACTAGGCAAATCTGTCAAAGAAACCATTCCATCCTTTTCTCCTGCTCATCAGAGCCCTGTGATTTCTATTCCATCTAGAACTGAGAGCTATTAAGGAATCATAGAATCACAGAATAAACCAGGTTGGAAAAGCCCTTTAAGCTCATCAAGTCCAACCATCCCCAGCAGTGCCAAGGCCACCACTAACCCCTGGCACTGATGTCTCGTCTACCTGGGCTGTGAACACTTGCAGGGACGGTGACTCCAGCACTGCCCTGGGCAGCCTGTTCCAATGCCTGAGCACCCTCTGGGCACGGAATTGTTCCTCAGCTCCAGTCTAAAACGTGCTAGGGAAAAAAACTACCCAGATGCAAGCCTCTCCTATTGCTTAGTCCATGCCTGATTCTCTAAGCTGGAAGGGCTGAAGAAAGCAGCAGGCGTTGAGAGTTGTTGCATGTGATACTGTCTGCCCTGAACACTTGATACCAACATCTTTCAACCAGAAACAGGTTTCAGTTGTGTAAACAGAGGTGCCATCTGAGACATCCAGGATATTTGAGATAGCTTTCTAGGGCTAAGGGACATGACACAGGATCTACAAGAGATTGATATCCTTCGGGAACAGCAGTTGGAAGCCATGTGAAGCATCTCAAAGGGCATGAACACCTGAAATAAACAGCACCTGTGGGTAATCCAAAGGCTTTTGTGTCTCTTTCTCCTCATCCACCTCTCCTGGAGTTTGTAAGGGGGAGGAAAAGCTGATGGTTTCCCATTACCTTTCCAGTGCATAGCCCAACAGTTATCAAACTCTGTAGAGCAGAGTGCAATTAAACACACCCTACGAACACTATATCTGTGATTCCCCTTCCAAGCCACATGTATTGTTCTCCCAACACTCACAAGCAATAAGCCTCATGGTGGAGAGGTGACAGGCCCAAATAACATCTGCAAGGCAGCTGTGTAGTCAAAGGCTATGTAATTCCTTCCAAATACATGTGGGGACCTGGATGCTCAGACACTAAACAGCACTGGGTAGCTCTTACCTCCATCTTCACACCTAGTGAGAGCTGAGGAGGCCACCAGACCATGCACTCTGACCTTTTGCATCAAGGATGTTGTCCTACCTGATGCCTACATGATTCCCAAACACTCAGTGCTGTCCTACCCAAAGGAGATGAAGCTTTTCTGAATCACAAAGACTGAAATTGTGCTAATGCTGAAGCTGCTGAACAGGTAGGATCTGATTAGGTAGAAAGTTCTTGCTCCAGCAACCCTACCAGCCAAAGGGGTCTGATATACCTGCCCTGGGCACCTGGAAATTAGTCCTGCCAAAGAAACCCTAACAGACTATTGTGACTTCCCAACCTGAGACATGTTCCATCAAATAGCTTGAAATTCAGCCTCAGGTCTTGGCTTCCTTTCTCCCAACAGGCAGCATCAAGTCATAGTAAAAGCTTATGTGAAAGTACATACCCTGACAGGAAAACCCATGTGAAATACACCCACTGCATGGAATATTTTTTACCCATTATCACAAAATGCATCTACAAACAAGTTGTTCTTTCAAACAGACCTCCCAACCCCTCTTACCTGGAGCGACAGGCGGACAGTTTTCCACTGATCTCCCCAGAGTACCGATAACACAAAGAGGGCTGTTACAGAGCAGCTCAGCACAATTAAAGTCCCAATCTGGGCAGACAAAGAAGACATAAATCAGCTTCATCATTTCTGTGCCATATATTTGACTCACAGGCTTATTTAAGCAGCTTGGACTTAGTAAGTTTAGGATGTATGAGATTGACTATACCAGCTCAGAGACAGAGATCTAATGGGACTAAAACCAGACTAATAGTGCTATTGATCAGCTTTTCTGTATGGAAAGACTGATCTTAAGAGTTGGGTACCCACCTAAGTCAGCCCTAAGGGCTCCATCTATAGCCATTGGAGAAAGAGAGGCATTTAAAGAGGCAATCAATTCCTGCTTGCTCTATGGTGGAAGATGCCTCTCTATCTCTCTGTTGATGTAGATGGAGCTTAGATGATCAGTTCACATTAAGTCCCTGGCAGATAGCTAAATTTAGAAGTGATGAATCCCATCTAGAAGAAACAGCAACACAGCTTCCTTATGCTATGAGCTTCTTTACACCAGCTTCAGCAACAGCAAACACGCCCATAACCAAGAGATGGGAGTTCACTATTTAACCAAAGAATTGAAGATGTAGCTCAGTCTGTTCTTTGGCTTCTTGCTCAGTTTGGTACCTGCACAGTGGTGATGGCAGGCTCTGCTTGGTACATGATTTTTCTGCTGACAACTAAGTGCGGGTAGAAATTGGACCAATGCCCCAACCATTCTTCAGGGGGATCCTACAGATCAACATCTTAATAGTCATAGAATCATAAAATGGTTTGGGTTGAAGGGACCTTAAAGCTCATCCAGTTCCAACCCCTGCCACGGGCAGGAACACCTTCCACTAGAGCAGGTTGCTCCAAGCCCCTGTGTCCAACCTGGCCTTGAACACTGCCAGGGATGGGGCAGCCACAACCTGTTCCAGTGTCCCTAATCTGTTCCTAATCTCTTCCACCCAAGCCTCAGGTTTTTTTTACAAACTGTTTTACATCTTTCTGGTTCCTTTGGAAGCCAACTTTCAGTAGTAAAATGACTGTATATCCATTGTTTAAATGAAGAAACACAGGATCAAGTACCTGCACGTTCAGCTATTCCCTTCCACTGCAAGATTTGCAACCACATTACATTTGCCCCACATAGCCTCAAGAATTTCTTAAGGAAGGTGATTCTAATGCATCATTTTGCAACAACAGCTCCCTGAGGTTTTGTTTCTGCACCATCAAAACTCCATGTGGCATTTCCCAAACCACCCAAAGGCCAAAAGGCATAAGGTGCCAGGATGCATTGGAAAACCCACGTTTCTTCTTCTTCCACTACTGCTGGAGGCTGCTACTTAAACTTATGCTGTGCTTCTCATGAACACTTTGCTTTTGTCTTCATGTTACCGCATGTAGATGTGTCAAATACGGACAACTTCACCTGAGTGAGTCACTGCAGGCTCCTTTTAGAGTCAGTGGGGAAAAAAAGACACTTTGAAGTGTGATTCATCTCATCTTAATTTGGATGTCTATGACCAGCTGGGTGAGTTGTGTCCTCAGCGTATTAATTTCCTTCCACTGACTACAAAGGGAGTTTAGGTGATCAGCTCAGGTGGAGGTACCATTCTTACAGATATCTAAAGTCTCTTAAGATTAACTTCTTGCCTCTCTTGCTTCTATCTCATAATCTTTTTCATGCAGAGAAACACTAGAGACTCAATTGATCTAAAGCATGGATTAGAGTTACCAGAAAGCCGTGAGTCTCCCCACCTTGTGACTCCAGTGTAGGTAGAGCTGCTGGCCTTCTGCAAGCAAACATAGAGCCAGGACCTGGGGAATCAAGCAGAGATTGTTTGCACCCTGGTAGTGAGGTACCTCTGGAATTACTTTTGCATTGGGAAGTCACTTTACACTAGGTCTTGCTGCACAAAGTCAGGGCTGTTAACAGGACAGGTATATAGAGATAGGTAAAAATGCTTCTGAAATGGCCTAGCACATATCAAGGCTGCCCTGCAGGATCATAGCCCTTTCAAGGGTACTTCAAGGTACACACTTTCAGTGCCTGTTCTTTGTGAGTACAGACTCTGAAAGAGGAATGATGTCCAGGTTCAACTGCTGGGCTATGAACCAATATAACACTAACTTCACCTATTTTCTGTGCATTTGTTGTGATTTGTTGCATACCAAGCATGGGAGAAAGGTCAGGGAGTAAAAAATGCCTCTAAACTACCACCAAAATACAGAGCAGACAGCAAAGGAGGCAGCACTTCCCCAGGAATCACAGGAAACACAAGAGACAGGCACATCTAGGAAGAGGGAAAACTGCCTTGTTGATTAAAGGACTCTGGTTTTTGTGGCTGGCATGTTCCTTCCCTCCAATAGCAAGGTGGAGCCATTGGGGAAGGTTCTTGTGCAGCACTGTGCAAACCCCAGCCAGGACAAGGAGAAGTCTTGAACACCAAGAAGCAAAGATGAGGAAAGCCAGTCTACAGCTCTGATGGAGCAACTTCAGGATGTCCCAGACCTAAGCAACCAATGAACCTAGTGATGAATTTTACCAGGTGAAGTACTTCGCTGCCATGAAAACACATAGATGCTCAGGCATCCGAGTGCCTGGGGCAAGCTTCCCCATCACTGTAAGGGACAATTTGGGCACCAGCATCACCAGATATCAATGTTTAGAGTAAAGTATCTGTTAGTAAGCATCAGTGCTTCACTGGGAAGGATCATTTAGGATGCAGACTGTAGCACAGCGGGGTTGTATGAAAGTAGGACATACAGATTTAGAGGAAGAGGCTCTTCTCTCCCAAAATACGACTGCAAAGGAATGTAAGCTGTTTCCCATCCAGCTACAAACACACACTCTTATGAAGCAAGCTATAAGCTCAGCAGAGAATACAGATCAGCTTTTAAGTGCTTCTTGACACGTTAGCCTCCTTTAATCGAATCCTACACCCAGTACATGATGAGTAACCATGGGAGCAGCTCTGAGAGAATTGAATTACTGCTAAAGATCTTAAGCCAGCCCCATTTAAATGAGCTATTTCAGAAAAGGGAAGAAAAAAGACACATTGCCCCTTTTCTGCAAGCAACGTTATACAAAGACCTGGTCCTTGCCTAAGGTACAGCCAAACACTTATTTCACAGGCCATGTTCAACCAGCCTCTCCCCTGCTATTGCAGTACAACTTCTGTATAAATGATGCATCACCTCTGGGAATGCCATCGGAGGGAGCTCATTTTTATGGATGGAAATAACATCTCATTATCAGCTTAGAAGAAGCAGAATCACCAGGTTCCATCCTCAGAGGGTGAAGAAGGAACTCTTTCAGTTGCATGGCTGGGCACTGTAGCAGAACACGTCCTTATGGACCAGTGAGCTGATGTGATGTGCACCACCGAAGCTTAACTTCTCAAGCCACGATCACCTAGCTTCATCCTGCTCCTCAAAAGCTGCCTCAGGACCTGTCCAACATGCTCTTCCACAGAGAGCAGCTGCCTTTAGCAATGTCTCACATGCTTGCACCTAGAACAGGACTTGCTCAGGTAAAGGAACAACCAGCACCAGCAGGTCTGTCACCTTCAAACTGCTCCATACATATCCTGGAATTGTCTAATGCAAGTGCAACATGTGGGTTTAAGTGACCAGTATGTTTCTGACTATTACTGCTGAGGTTAGAGCCAAGGTCCCTCTTGCCAGCCCCTCCATCTTCCTCAGTTTTACAGCCTCCAACACTTGAATTCTTCTCATCTTTAGTATGAGATGTGGATGTGTCTCCTCTCCACCATCTACCTGCAAAACGGTTCTTGAGGGATGATTCCCATGAGTAAGAGATGGATTTGCTGCAAGGATTGCACCTCTGTCTCCCTCTTTCTGAGTGGGTGCACTGACCACAAGGTTTTCCTGCCAAAGGATGGACAACAGACTCTTAGCCCCACTCTACTTCAGCACAGGAATGACCTTGTACTTATTTCAGTGCTGCTGGTGAGGCTTAGGCAGGCTCTGAACCTACATCCACAAGGACATGGAGACAGGCATTTAGACACTCAGCTCACCTAAAATACCTGCATACTTTGGTGGCCACAGGAAGAACTCAGGTCCCTACATTCAGCTTCTGGCAAAAATACAGCGCCTCAGAACTTGTCTGGTACCCTACTCTCTTAGGGATGGATGTTTGAGGTCACTTTTTGGACCTCAAGGCCAATGCGTTGTTTGAGTTCTCTCTTAACCTGCGAATGGAGAGGCAACAACACATCAGAACCTCTTCACTTTGTAGAGCAACAAGTCACCTCCCCAAAACCCTTAGAACAAACAGGTTGAACTGCAGAGATGGAAATATCATCTGTTCATGTTTGAAAGACGGAGAAAGAAACGATTTTTCTCCTCCACAGAGCATGAATGCTCCTGCAATTAGACCCCTCAGCTTCAGCTTTAGCTCTAACGGGGGTGAGAAAATTGTCTTAGGGAGTGATAACAGTTGAATTAATTGAAACTGATTGTCTGAATGAATTACCATGATGCCTGTGGACAGGGAGCATCTTTGAACAGGCAGCAAGGGGGGTTCTGTGAAGCATTTCGTTCAGCTGCTGGTGCCCAGTGGGAAGCAGAGTGTTTGCTTCAATGGTTCACAATAAGATCATGGAAGCAGGTTTGCTCCAGTTGGGAGTTATCCTTAAGGAAGGGTATGGTGCCCACAGACAAAACCACACCAGCCACTGGCTGCTATAAACATCTTTCTGCTCCAACAAGGGCACCGATGTTTGTTTTTCTGATGTGATGGGCTGCTGATGTAAAGCACCACAAGGAAATGTTGCCTGGGTGAAGGTCTCCAGTCCTTCCTGCAACACATGTAGGGAAGTCTGCACCCAACACTGTTCAGCCAGAGCATGGGATGTAATTCATCATCGGGGCAATATATTTGGCCATCAGTTGTTTGAAATGTATTAGGGTGATTCAGCTGTCATACAGCACCCACACTGATAGGTTTATTAGATGTGGAGGGGCTGAGTTGCAGGTATTGGCCTGTGAGGCTCCTAGTGTTTTGCTGTGTGGTTCATCAAAGGCTGCAGTGAAAGGCCAGGCACAGTGACAGGGAAGCTCTGCAGTGCTGGAGACGTGATTCTTGGTATAGTTCTTCTCTGACAGGAGCCCTGCTGGGATGAGCATTGCTGAGCCACAGTTGCCATCACGAGACCCCGAATGCAGGTATGTGACCGTGGTGTGACCCTGCATGTTTTGACATAGTGGGAGTGTGAATGGTGGCAGAAAGAGGGGAGACTGAGATGAGCCCTGAGGCAGAAGCTCTTCCCTGTGAGGGTGCTGAGGCGCTGGCACAGGGTGCCCAGAGGAGCTGTGGCTGCCCCATCCCTGGCAGTGTTCAAGGGCAGGTTGGACACAGGGGCTTGGAGCAACCTGCTCTAGTGGAAGGTGTCCCTGCCCGTGGCAGGGGGTTGGGACTGGGTGAAGTTTAGGGTCCCTTCCAACACAAACCATGACAACCTTTCTCACTCCCCTTTCCTTCAAGACCTGATCCTATTTAGCTCACAGCTCTGACAGTGCAGGGTCTCATGTCTCCCAGTGCTCCCTGCTTGAAACAGATGCATGCAGCAATCTTGCCAAATGAGACATGGTGGCATGCGGATGCAACCAAAAGGGGTGAATGTCCTTTGATACGCAGCAGATTTGGGTGGCTCACTTAACAGCTTCATGAAAGCAAGGAGCAAATGAACCCTCACTGCAGCAGCTGTTCCCAGAGCAGGGCAAGCTCTGAAGTGTTTCTCTTGAAGGACTTGTCTGGTAGCATCCAGGCTACTTGTGTTTCTTCAGGTTTATCCATACTCATCCTCCTGAGGAAGGTAAATGCTGTTAGCCTCATCAGACAGAGCTGAGGTGCTGGGAGGAGGAGGATGTGCCTACACAATTGAAGAGTGGGACTGAGACTGAACTGAACCACATAGGACACCAATTTCACCTTGTGTTTTCCTTTGTGATTTTACTTTGCCCATCACCTGCCCTGATAGCTGTGGTCTCACATTCATGCTGCCAAAGACATGAAACTCCTCTAAGAAAGTCCACTGCTTGGACACTGGATCCAGACAGAGCATGGCCGAGCTGATACACCATCCCCAGGGATCTTCATACTCCTCAAGCCCTGAAAGTCCTTTAAAGCCCATTTCTAGCTATGATGGGTTAGTCTGATCCTGAGGTTGACTCCAGATCCACAGCCTGCTGTGGTAGGATCTCAGAGATATCCATATCATGTGGGCATCTCTGGCAAAGCTCCGAGTTGCCCAAAGCAGCATTATAACCACCATATTATTCTATGGCCAGTGGAAAAGCCACACAGGCTTTGCTGAATAACAGATATTGAGCCCTAGAGTCACAAAATCCTTGCAACTAAATATTGTTATTTGTCCTACTCAGAGCACTGTTAGTCCACAGCTTTTATGATGTTATTGATGGCTGTGGGCATGGCCACGCTGTCCTATTTATCACTTTAGGGCTTTTATTGCTAGCACTAGAATAAAAACCACTATTTATTTGTCCTCCATCAGGGACAAAGGACCCCAGGAACCTATTGTGTTAAGCACTGCCTGAACAAAGCAGAAAGAGATTCCCTGCTGGGAGCAATTAGCAGACTGACTGTGGTGACACAGGAGGGAACAGGTAAGAAGAGTGGGAACGGGGGATAAAAGCTGGTTGCCAGTCACAAAGGTGAGTCAAAGCCATAACCTCACCCTCAGCACTTCAAAGTGAAAGGTGCAGCAGGCCTGAGACTGAACGTGTCTGCAAGTCCCTGGAGTTACAGTGATTTTTTAGCCTGTAGCTCTGATGCAGAAGGTGGGGAAATAGATGCAGATCTGTCTTTAGTTAGGGGGGTTTCTCATGAAGGAAAGGACAGAGAAAAATGATGAGTAGCTAGAAATCTTAGCTGGCTTGGTAAGTTTCCATAAGTAAGTTTCCATAAAGTATGTTTCCAAAGCAAATTGCAGATCAGAAGTCCAGAGAAAATGGTACAGGATTTGGAAGAGTGAAGCCTGCAGGAATATTGCCTCTTCAGGAATAAACCAGCATCTATTTCACTGTGATCTGTGACCACATCTGCTGTCTCTACATGAAGAGAAACCCTCCAGCAAAGCTGAGTGAGTCAAGGCAGCTTCAGTGATAATGTTCCCCTTCTTCTAACGAGCCTTTTCATTCAGGATTAGAGGAATAACTCAGCTTTGATGACATATCATCACTATATGACTCACAGCTCCATTCTTCCCTGCTGCTTCCCCTGAGTCTAAATCCAGCCACTGCTGGCACAGCTTTCCTTGGGTTCAAGGAGAGACTGGACACATTCACTGAAGGGAAATCATAGGGAGAAAACTACATCAGGCTTAGAGATTCCTGAGCTGAAATTGGTCATCTGCTATTGGGCACGGGGAGAAAAAACTGTTAAACACTCATTGTGTTCCAAATCTTCCCCAGGTATCCACTGTCTGTGGGATTAGGCTGAGCTTTGGTCTAACACGTTAAAGCCATCCTTACGTCTACTTTTTAGGGCTATAAATCATGGTCAGCTTACAAGGAGCATTACTTACCAATAACAGCGTGATGTACGTGAACAAGAGTGCAGCCACACTCAGGAGAACCAGAGACCAGAGGAACCAGAAGCCCAGGGTCTCATAGTTATACCTAAAGAGCAATGAAATAGTACAATAGTGGTTTGTGTTTAGCACATGGAGGGGAGCAACAGCCTCGTTCCTCAAAAATGGGACATTTTCAAAGCAATAAAACAAAGAGGGGGAGAGGAATAACCTACCCTGTAACATGCAAATGGGGTTAAAAGCATCCTTCCCCAAATCTATGATTGCATTAACCACCCGACTAACACCTCAATGTGCTGGGGTGGTAAAACACAGAACCAAACGTATGGGCTTGCTCCAGAGAGCTCCCAGTCTGCCTGTAAGACACAGCACCTTGCTGCAGACAGGGCAGCCTGGGGGAACAGTAAGATGACATGGCCCAGGCCAGCAGCACATCTCATCTGCCTGTGGCTGTGTAAGGCACTGCAGCAGGAAGGAGATTTGAAGCAGAAAACACCATAAAGCTGGATGGATGCAGAGGTATTGCCCAAAGATGAGAAAGGGAAACTTTTTACCCAAAGGCTCAATAAAGATGAATAACATTATCACACCTTTCCTCTCCATAACATTTGAACTGGTTTAATTTAAGGACCAGATTTGCGTAACTGTTGCCTATGTACTGCAGAAGGAGAGGATTTGCATAAATCCCTGCTGGTTATTCCTTACTTCTGAGCCTGGGAACATGCAATTCTCTTTCTGTGAGATAGCTGGTGCAATGCCTCTGATGCCAGCCACTACATAACCTCAGAGGAAACAGGACGAGGGGAAAAGACGACCCAGAGAAGGAAAGGAAAGAGATTTTTAATCCACTCACAATTTTTGTGATGATGATTCTCTCCTTTCTTCCAAATTCACACTTACAGGTAAAAATTGCAGCCAAGCAAAAGGCAGAGCCTCAGCACCTCTGAAGTCATTGACCATTCAATTTGGATGCTGTAACCAAGAGCTTAAGGAGCCAAATCTTTGGCTCATGGCTGAAGCTGCTGGGGAGGGTGCTCATCGCTTCCCAGCCACCCAAGAGACCTGCCCAAGGAGTGAGAGAGGAGAACAAGATGGTACTCACCAGTCAAAGTTATTGTAGTCATTTTTCGCTTCCCCACACATGTACAGAAAGACCAGAGAAAAAAAGAAAGCTCCAACAAGCAATGGGAAAAACATGCATTCCCGCTGGAGAGGGAGAGGAAGGACAAGTGGTCAGAGCCTTGCCTGCCCCAAAACAATCAGAGCATGTTGCAAATACTTAGAGGGTGTTCTTAAGACACATAGCTTGGTGTTGGACCTCCTGAAGTAGATATGGAGAGGACTTCCCCTCCCTGTCCCTTGTGACCAGTGGAATGTCCTCAAAAGTATACTCTGCAGTATTCACTTTCAGGGGAAACAGACCTCATGCCTTCACAAATGAACAGGGCTTTAAGCACCTCAGAGGGAATTGCATTATGCAGCAGCCCTCTTTGCAATTCTTGCTGCACACCCACCCCAAATTATACGTGTTTCATTTGATCCTATGGCTTTGAGATGTTTCACCGGTTGGGAAGGTTTGGTGCAAGGTCCTTTCCAGCCACCACACATTTGTTAGCTGTGTGGTGGCACAGGCAAACTGAGCTTGCCACAGAAACACAGCAATACATAGAATGATTCAAGCACTTAGAGCAGAATCTAACAGTATCTGACAACCCAATAGGTCTCATTGGGCTCCAAACGATGCTGGGCAAGGATGCCTTTGGCCCACAACATCAACCACTCGTTTCTTGGACTGACCTGTCCCTAACACAGGAATCTGTGCTGATTTAGAGCTAATTTACCATCTTGCAGCAGCATTTCCCAGGCTCGGCCCTCCTGCGCTGGTACCGCTTCCACTGGCAGGTGTAGAAACCAGCCAGGCAGGAGACAAAGGGCTGGTGCTCATAGCGCTGAAGCAAGCGCTGACGTACCACCTTCAGCTTCCCAAACTTGAGCTTCTTGAAGCTGCTGGAACTGGCCTCCATCTGAGCAGCTTTATCTCATCTTCCTCCTGAAACAAGACCAGGGTTTTATGGGGAGACTCAAAACCTTCCTTTCATAAGCTTTTCATACCAGAAAACAGGGAGGAAGTTTCCTCGAGAGGATGCTGAGACCAGCAGGAAAGGGTGATGAGGAATCTCTACCTAATTTTATAGACCTGAGATATCTAAGCAAAAAGCATGGTCTTTTCAAGTCCCCTCAGCAGTCAGTGGTGCTCCTGGTAGTAACTTAGGTGCTCTGAACCATAGAATCATAGAACCCTAGAAACATAGAATGTTTGGGCTGGAAGGGACCTTAGAGATCATCTAGTTCCATTCCCACTGCCATGGGTAGGGAACTTCTGCCTCCTTTTGAGCTCTGGGAAATGAAATCACTAACTTATGTTGAGAATCTGCATGGAGTGCTTAAGTCAGATGAACCTGAACCTGGGCTTAGCCATAGGAATCAGTTCAACATCACAGTGACCTGTCTGCAACCTGCTATCAGTTTAACTAGCTTGTGTAGGAAAGGGACTAAAACCCTCCTGGAACACAGCTCTTAACCTGGCAAAACTACAGCACTGCAGAGTCTGACCCCTTCAGAACAAGTGATTTCCTGTCTGAGATAGCTTTACATGGCACAGGTTTTTAGCAGTAGAAAGAGAAGCTGTAAAGATGCACACACACAGGATCTTTTCATAATGAAGAACTTCAAGAAATAACTTGGCAAATTGCAACCAATGTAGTTAACAGCAAAGCAAATAGCACAGGGGGTTGTGCCAGCAAAGAGTGGTTCACCCAGCAGGGAATTATCAAGACTGCAAGGAAAGATTTAGAAACAAAAAGTCTTGTGGACAAGAAGCACCATTATGCAGCACTTTAATACGGAGACAGCCAGACATGTTTTCTGTTGCATTAAAAAGAAGCATCGTATCCTTAAGTCCATACCAACCATATTCAAATCCAGGCCTGTCTGCTGCCAAGTCCCAGCTTAGGATTTATCTGATAACAGTCATTTAAGGACAAGAATGAACAATTTGCTGCACTATACACGTGGATAAAATGCACACAAATAGTTTGCAACTAAGGCAGAGCCCAGTGTGTCTTTGCAGAAATCTGTGGATAAATCCTTGCACATCGATGCTTCCAAAAAACCAGATCAGTTTGCAGAAAGCACAAATAAAACAGAGCCATAAGGCCCTGTTTCAAGTTAAAACTGAAATGATGCATCCCTAGTGCCCCTTCCAAATGTTCCAGCCTGCTGGCAGCTGGAGAGTAAGGATAGAGGATGGAAGTGAGACAAAAGAGGGTTCAGTTTGGACCACTACTAATAAGCAGTGCCCAAGCATGCCATGCCCTGAATGTCTTCCTGAGACAGATGTATCTGCCTATCCAGGACAGTCACAAGGAATTGCACACTCTTGGATACGGTGGGGTCGAGCCATCCTTACAAGCTCAGTAGTATCAGATCCTGGCACCAGCAGGTCACCCCATAGTGAAATATTGATGCCAGTCTCATGTGGCAAGATGTGATCCTGCTCTTGAATTACCCAGGGCACAGATGGGAGATGTGGGCATTATGCCACCAGCAAGTGGTGCATACTCCAAGTGATCCTGCTTGTCCCCATCAGCTGGCGTAAACCCTGCAACTACCAAGTGACCCCAGCCACCTCTTTTGAACACATTTGAGCCTTCAGAGCTCTTAGCAGAAGGGTGTCCATGCCAAGGGGTTGCAGTATTTGTTACGTCTTACAAGGATCCCTAAACCATGAGTTCCCCAATCACCAACCACAGCATCCATTCTTCCCCAACCCTTCTCCTTCAGCAACAGGAATTCAGGACACTGCATCAAAACCATTAGCTTGGCTGGAAAAAGGCCATGAGGTTTGTTACTCACATTCCTGGTGTGGGCACGAGGTTCACACATCAATATTTACCTACGAGCACACAGGATTTGGCAGGAAAGCAGAGATTACAGAGACATCCAAACACTGTCCGTTCCATCTGGCTGGCCACAGCAGCACATCAGGTGTTAAATCTAAGTGTTGGTCTATCCCTCATAAAAGTTGCAGTGATGGAGATCCCACCAGCTCCCAAGACAGGCTAATCCAGTCCTAACTAGCTTTACTATTAAAAGCTGGGGGCTTTCCCCCCAGTGCCTGGTCTCCCATTGTACACTTTAAGCACGTTACTTCATGCCCTGCTCATGGTGGATGTAGAGAACAGCTTAAACTTTTCCTCCCTTACATATTTCACATACTTACATTTGGGCACCTCCCCTTAAGCCTTCTCTAGCCTGAACAACCCCAGCTTTTCAGGTCTTTCTTTGTAGTTCATGTTTTCTTCTCCTCAGATGTCAACAGTCACCTGCTATTTGGGATTTTCCTTGCATTTCCCATGGGGTTTGGCACATGGTAGTGGTAACAGGATGTGGTGAACAAGCCACAGCCTCTCCAGGGCAGACCTGTTCACCCATAGCACAGGCTACTCGATACCTGGAGCATCCAGCTTGTCTCATGTATCAAACATTGTCTGGCCTCGTCTTCTGAATGCTTAAATACTTCACCCTGGGCTCACACCCTGCAGCTTTATGCATCACAGCATAAACATCAGGGGCAACTCAGCACAGATTTGGGCTACTTCACTCTTCCTAAGAAGAGCCCATTTCCCTCTGCAGCTCTGCAAGATGCAAGTATCTGTGATGCATTTACACTGTGGTGTTGCTGGTGTCAGCAAACACTCCAGTGGCAACTCCAGAAACTCCTCTTAGAGGCAACAAGTCCCATGTGAGGATAAGGAAGACAAAGACAGCCAGAAACATCCTTCTCAGCTCAAAACGCACTCAGAGCTCCAGGCACTCATTTCTTCTCTTCACCTGTGTCTTTCCACACATCACTCCTTCCCTTTTACCTCCACATCTTCTTCTGGGTTCCTTCCCTCAGGTGCACGTAATTCTGCTTAATGTAATGCAAGCTCCCTCCGTAAATCTCAGCCACCCTGCAAGTTCTCCATGACCCTCCATGCCATGGTTCCACCCTTGCTCACAAATCACCAGCCTCTGCTACAGCTATGATGGGGCATTCAGAAGCCCTAACAACATCTCTCCCAACACCTGGATGAACCTGCAATGCCTCAGACTGCATCAAACACTGAAACATTTGAATTCACACGTATCTGATCCTAACGAAGATAATATTCCAGCATCCGGACCCAAAAAATACCTAAGGGACAAATACCACCACAACATATGGTGGATGCAGACACCAAAAGACATATCTGTGTTAGGATTTGGAGCAGTTCAAACATTACCAGGATGTAGCAAGAGACCTCACAGTGCTTGCATCTAGATTTGAAGCAGTGCTGCTAAAATTGAGAGGTCTTCTGCAATCCTTCCTCATCAGGTAAAAGTAAATGGATAGAAGAGGGAAACAGAAACTTGAATCCATTCTCTGGGAAAGCCACGGGAGCAAAAAGCAAGCAGGAAAACATGCATCAGGAGAGCAAAGTTTAGGACTCCTTGGCAAGTGAGCCGTGAAAGCAGTAACATAGGGTTTTCAGCTCAATAAACGCAGGAGCCCTCAGGTCTTTCCCTTGCAGACACTTTGCTTGCTCGCAGATAAGAGCCCCTGTAATCACAGGCAGTTGAAAAGTGCTGCTCATTTCCCATTGCTTGACAGGGAGTGAAGAAAAGCACGAGAAATAGCCCAGGGGGATGATGAAGGAAGGAGCAGGAGAGAATAAGCAGGAAACATTCAGCCACAGAGACTGAACTCAGAAGGTGCCGCAAGAGGAAAGGCCAGTGTAGAAACAAGGAGAAAACCCCTTGTCTTTTTTGGTGCTTTAGAGCTGGGGCATTCATCTTTCAGGGCTAAACATGTACAGCAGCCAAATTTGGCATTGTCCTATAGCCTCTTCCTTGGGCCTTTTAAGTATTTCTTTCCCTTCCCCTGCATCTATCCAGCTTTCTCCAACACAACATCCTACAATGTGCAGGGACCTTTCCAGATGCTGCAAACACACCTCCCAGGCCACTGCAAAAGGAGAGTTGGAAAAACCATTAGATGGGTACCAGAGGCCATGTGAGGGATGTGGAGATGGTCGTTCCTCAGCACCTGAGCATGGCCAGGTTGCCCTGAGCATCTTGATGGCGTAGGAAGGCAGCAGATAGGAGTGATGCCCGTTTTGCCCATAGCACCATTTCCAAGAGATTAGGAGTAAAAGTGAGCCCCATGCTTGGAGGAAGAAGAATCTTGAGCCTGAGCTGAGCCTCTCCAGTACTTGCAGCTCTCTTGCACGGAGATCTCTGGTGCCATCCCACCACTTTCTGAGGCATCATTCCCTGCCCTTCCACCTTGGAGTCTTCCACAGCATCGCACCAACAGATGCAAAAGAGTAAAACCAACCTCCTGACAAGATACTGGTTGATCATCATCACCATGAGCTGCACACAGATCTTGCCACTAGCCAGAAAAGCTCAACAAAGAGCACCCGTTAAACCTGCATTTCTACTCCAAAGAGCCTACCCAAGGCACTGGGTCACACCTTGGACCTCTTCCATTTCACCATCACCTGCCTTCAGTTTCTGTTTAGGGAATTAATGAGGTTCAACACAGGAAAGAAAGAAGGATCAAATGAAATAAAACTAGTTATAATCCCCCTGTGAGAGGGAATATATATAATTTCCTTTCCCTGTCAGACCATAATAGTAATTTATCACTAAGACACTCAACAGTTTCCTTTATAAGCCCTAATTATACCTTGCTCATGTGTGGGATCCCAAGGAGTATGTGCAGCCTGGGACAAACACGTGCAAAGGATGTCTCATGAATTGATTGGCTTTGAGGTGGAAGAACACAGCCATTAGCACAAAGAATAAACAGAGTTTGATACAGGAAGCAATGAATGACTGTGGAAGTAGAAGGGTCTGACAAGGAATAACTGCTCCTGCAGCTGCAGGGACTATATTTCTCCATTTCATTTGGTGTAGGACTCCTCCAGCATGCAATGGTTGTGGTTTTCAAAGCTATGGAGATGT